GTGATATTTTGATATGGATCCAGTGAGCATTTGTTCCATGAGTATTGACACAGATTCTCGAACATGTAATTGTCTGAGCTGATGAACATCATTATAAGTACTGAATATTTAATTTGTATGTATAATTGTATATTAAAAATAGCTGAGAAATGGTACATGCATTATGAACATGGTGTAGTTTAAAAAAAAAAAAAAACTCTTTCTGTTGCTCTATGCCTAAAATAAAAACATTTAATCAGGACATCCAAGATGGTTCAATTTGACTTGTACAAGAGTTTAGGCAGTTCAATTATACTTCTTCGAAATTGTTTTCTAACCAAATGAAAAAAATGAATGAATTTTTATCATGCCACATGACACAGCATAAACTCCTAACTCATAAGTTTGGGAAGGACTCTTCATTTATTTGGGGGAAATGGTTTGATATGAATTTGCATGCTGGTCCAATACATTATCTGGATTTTTAGCTCTACTGGTCAGAGACCAGAAGAGCTTATGCGATAGTAATGCGTCCGGCGTCCGTTCGTCTGTCTGTGTTCTGTAAACAATTTTTCAAAACGCTACTCCTCCTACAATTTTAGTCTGATTTCAATATTACTTGGCACACAAGTAGACTACACTAAGATACATAGAATAGTGCATCGGTTTTTAATTTCGATGAACGGTGTTGCCATGGTTACAAAAAATAGAATTTTCTGTGAAATTCCTTAAAAACGCTACTCCTTCTACAGTTTTGGTCTGATTTCAATATAACTCGGCACACAAGTAGACTACACTAAGATACATAGAATAGTGCATTGGTTTTTGATTTCGATGAACGGTGTTGCCATGGTAGCTAAAAATAGAATTTTCTGTGAAATTCCTTTAAAACGCTACTCCTTCTACAGTTTTGGTCTGATTTCAATATAACTTGGCACACAAGTAGACTACACTAAGATACTTAAAATAGTGCATCGGTTTTTAATTTTTATGAACGGTGTTGCCATGGTTACTAAAAATAGAATTTTCTGTGAAATTCCTTTAAATCGCTACTCCTACAGTTTTAGTTTGATTTCAAAATAAGTTGGCACACAAGTAGACTACAAAAAGATACATAAAATAATGCAATGGTTTTTGAAGTACAAACCAGTAGAGCTTCAGTCTCGAGAGAGACTTCTGGTTGGAACTGTGTTGCACAGTGCATATTGATGTTAAAATAGATAAATATGTAGGTGTATAATTATAAAGCTCAATATGATATCAAAAACTATTTATGTAGGAAAAGAAAGATCTTAATAATCACTGGGAAAGTTATGCTTTTTTTTTTTACAAGTATCTTGATAAACCAAGTTTAACATCAACAAAAAAAAAACCCTGATATAATTGTCTCCCCTTTCACTGAAAGTGGGGATACTAAATTTAGGTCTGTGCATCTGTCCGCGTGTCTTTCTGTCTGTCTGTAACACTTTCAAGAAGCCTTTGAGCTTTTGCATTGAAATTTTAACTCTCTGTGGCTCGAGAGAGACCCTTATTGATTTGGTGATCAAAGGGTCAAGTTAATTATGCAATAAATTCTGTTGAAAAATTGATTTGTTTTTGAAAAACAAAACACTGTCATAACTTTTATGAGACAGTATTAATAATTTTTCATTCAAATAAAAAGCAACAATCTTGACATAAATCCATAAAATCTAAATTGAAACTGGTTATCTTTGTTTTTAATGATTAATGCATGATTAAACCATGCACGAACAACCTGATTATATGATTATAACATTGTAAGCACTCGGCTTAACAAACAGAGTTGATTTTGTGAATTGTCTGATTGAAATTTTATCCTTTTCCTTATTCCTTTTTATATATCACCCTCTATGATCTCATAGGCATTCCTATTTATCATCTTATACATGTGTTCCCTTCTTTGTTACTGTCATATTGCTATTTGTGGGTTTAAGTCTAACCATCATTACAGTAATCATGGTAATGCATAAAATTGTGATCTAGAAAAGTACACTGGGGATCCACATTATCTTATTAGCTACTGATATCTATCGCTATACTATTCATGGGTGCTTGAAGACAGAAATATCCCCTTCCTCATCCGATATAGACCCCTGGGTCTGTTCGACATATGTTTTTCTAATCTATTATACATATTGTATATACCGTAGATGACAAATATGTAATTTTATCATCAATTTGGAAATTGGCTTTAGCAAACATTATAACAAGAGGCCCAAAAGGTTCAAAATGGTTATGTACTACGTAAAAGCATATACCCGGTAAGCAAACGATAATGACTTTCGACAAGAGAACCATTTATTTGTTACTCTGTATTTTTTCAACTTCCAGAGAATCAAACCCAGGACACCTGTCAGTCTTATGACAGGTGCACCATACACTACCCTAATATACTTTAAGGTTATTGTGCACTAGCTTTAAAACAAATTTTTCTAAATTTTCAGCATATGTGTGTATTAAGTAGTGTTGTCACGATGATCGATTTATAATCGATGAACGGTCGGAAAGGCTGTCGATTTTGGACAATCGATTGGAGATTTTAGCAATCGATTAATCGGTATAATTTAGCACATATCTTTTTTACTGTTTTCTCACTTTTATTTCAAGAACAGGCTCTTGTTATCAAAATATATATCTTTCAAGAGTTGTCCTTTAACTATTTTAAAATACATGTACTTAAAATCTGTTTTAAATAAATCAAAAGATAATGATATTTGTATTTCTAAACTGAAGAAACTAAACTACTTGTATAAATGAAATATATTAGTTTTTAGTAACTGTAGTTGTCATTTCATACAGAATCTCAAGGATTTACAATATTAAATGTCTTATAACAGTTTAAAAAATTAATTCCATATACATTTTAGATGATCATGTAAATCAAAACCTGATCTGTCAATGCTTTCTTTTCCCAGGCCAAGTAATTCCTTATCATGCAAAAATCTGTACTACAGAAATTGTTAATCCAACTGCATATATACTGTTTTTAGAATTCCGATCTGTACAATGTACCTTTACTTACATTATTTAACAATAAAATTCAAAATTTTATAAAATCTAATGCCTATTTTATGCAAAGGGTTACCGATTTGATTACTGGCCGATGATCAGTTGGTTAGGGTCAACCTATGCTACCGATTAATCGATTCTGATTTTCAACCGATTTTACAACACTAGTATTAAGGAATTTTTTTTTTTTGGCAATGTATCAATAAATGAAATATTCTGTTTGTTTTTTTTTTTATCAATAATTATTTTATGTTTCAGTGCAAGGATATACCAAATAACAGAACATTTATATTTGTGCAGTAACTGTTTTATGTATGATATATACATTGTAAAAAAAAGTTTTCCAAATTTTTTTTCAAAATCCCGAGTCAATCCCCAGATGACGATATTTTAATTCAAACAATCGAGAAGAGAAAAACGACTTTTAAAAATCGGAATATTGAAGCAAAGTAGTTAGGTACCTGAATACTTGAGCCGTACGTGGTTCGAAAATGGTTACGTACTAGGTCTAGGCCTATGTACAAACATGTAAGCAAACGATAATGACTTTCGACAAGAGAACCATTTATTTGTTACTCTGTATTTCTTCAACTTACAGAGACAAAAAACGACCCGATTGTCGAAGTCTTTTAGTTATCTTGTACTCGAGACAATGAATCTTCCATGCCATCTTTGTTGTACTTTCGGTTTGACGAATCATCTAAATTTAAACTCTCCTTCGATCATGCATCCCGGAAAATAACTGAACATCGTATATTTATGCCTTTTATTTGGAAATTAATGTACCTTTTTTTTACGGTAAGTGAAATCGACGTCAGGCATTTTTGATAGAATAAGCGTCGGGCGCGTTTGACGTAATCACGTCACAAACGAGAATAACGTCACATAACGTTATTTTACGTGGTATGGATCTTTACCTTAAATGTGTAATTTTCCCTTTTGTAATTAAATTGCAATAAAATATGTTTAAATCAATCAAATCAAACTATTCAATATTACAGTTAAAATAGAAAATTGTACCCGGTATTGTCATTAGCTAATTTTAAGATTCTATAAACAGTCCAGTCCAATACGAAAAATCGTAATATTACTAAAATTCGTAATATAAGCAATTTCTAACTCTTCTAAGAGTTACTTCCCTTTTTTCTGATACAACCTGCTTGTTATGTTTCATGAGAGATTATACGTCTCTGGTTTCATCAAATCATCATGGATATGCATGCATTTTCTTTGTTTTGATGCATTTGAGCCAAGTGCATGCAGAGTCAGAGCCTAGTGAACGTTGTACAAGTTATATCCCGTAACATCTCGTTGTTGGAGATGAGGGTCTGATTTTCAGGGTAGACTTCGGGAAAAATATAGGGAATTCGGGGATTGTAGAACACTATGACAAGTTTTAGGATACATTGAAGTTTTATGGAAAATTGTTCCCATCCCTGGGAAAATTCTTATATAAGAATAATAATACAAAATTTTCACTCACCCATTACTATTGTTACTTTCTTCTTGCATTTTCATACTTTTCGATAGACGTCACTGACCAAAATGACCACGTGATACTAGTACCATTGGGGCATAATGTATTTCTGACGTCATACTTTCCTTAACATCATTCAGTTTCTCTCAATGCTTAATTTTGTCTTACATTACGAAAACTCGTAATATAGTCTCCCCCAACATGCTATATTACGAGTTTTCGTAATTTAAATATATTACGAAAAATAGTAATATAAGAAAAATATTACGATATTCTGTAATATTACGATTTTTCGTATTGGACTGGACTGATAAAGTAGTTATATTTACTACACATTTACTACACATTGAATAATTCGTAACGGAGCTGATGTTTATTGTCTTATTATCCCTTCTTTATTTCATAAATGATATATTATTACATGAAACATAGACCTAAAGCTAATGCATGAAAATATAAATTGATTCTTCGATTTAATTGTAAATTATAAATGTAAAAATTCAGTTGACTTCCTGATTTTTTTAAATCAATTAGTTTATCTTATCTGTACCCAATGCATGTACTTGATCGCCATGTGACACTTGTAAATACTTAACTGACAAATAAGAATAGTTTAATATATACATGTATATACACATGCTATACATTCCGGAAATTTATATTGCAAATATATTTTAAGTACCGTCAATAATTTAATGCACATTCAAAAATGACTTATTATCCTTATGCCGTCTGCAATGAAACAACTGACTTGCATGCCAGTCAGGTTCCAACTCACGTAGAAAATTGTCTGGTAATAGGAGGGAATCTGATAGCATTTTTCCTGATGATGATTAATAGTAGGTACCATCAGTGGCACTCCTTCTACATACTATTTGCTGGTTTAGTCTTCACAGATCTCTTGCAGTCTTGTGTACTGTATCCGGTCACCATTTTGAGGTATACCAGTAACTTCACGTGGTGCTACACTAAACCTCTTTGTGATGCCGTGTCCTTCACATTTTCCTTTACACAGTTATCCTCTGGCGCCATCGTTTCTTGCATGGCCATTGATCGCTACTTATGTCTCACACGGACAGACTTTTTGCGAAGAGCTAGGTGTATTCGTTTGAGATATTTTGGCGTCCTGTGTGCCGTTTGGTGTTTTGTAGCTCTCGTCTGCAGCCTTCATCTTATTGGCCTCGGAAACAGCCAGCTCTACTTTCCCGGTTCATGGTGTTTTATAGATTTTACACAGACGTCCACTGGAAATCGTGTGAATTCCCTAATTTACTCTGTTTGTGGAATATGTGTGATCATTTCAACTTCCTTCTCTAACATAGCCTCGGTCGTGTTGTCGTGTAAAGACAACGAATACAGAGCTAGACTGCTGGAACACAACAGGGTGACTGGGGTCTATGATACTCACGTGACCATCTTCCTCGTGGTGGCACTTTTTGTTTATGTGGCATTTTTTGGTCCATTCATTGTAAGTTCCAAAAGTTAAAACTAGTTACAGTCAAACCTTAAAATCAACTAATAGTATGAAATATGATTTAACTAAATACTAATATATGTACCTAGTAAGGGGAAAACCGCATTTCCAGTATCATTTTACATGCAGTTTCTTATATCTTTGAAATTGTGAGTGTTTCATAAAACAGTTGGTTTCCCCAAAACAGGAATCCAGACTTCTATTTTCCACTTTGGTTGCATTTTGCTTGTACAGCTCTTACAGATCGCTTGCAGTCTTGTGTACTGTATCCGATTTCCATTTTGAGGTATACCAGTACTGTAGCAGACAGTATATAGGGAACTTATACTGCCTCGCCAGTGAGCTAGCTTTTCTGGTGATGCGGTAGAGTCTCCCTCTATTTCAGGCAAGTTAAGCAACGGCGAGCCTGTTTAACCCTTGGATTGGTGACCGCTTCACGTTACAAAATTGGTGGCAGCGTAGTGACTCTGGTGTCTTGCTTCAGGAAGTCATAGAGCTAGGACTTAGTGTCCATTTACAGACTTCGTGTCTGTGGACAGCAGGGGTTGCCGTATCTGAAGTCAGGTTCCGATCTGCTTCAGGGAGCTCTTAGACTAGGACTTTGTGTCCAGGTACGGACTTCGTGTCCGGGAACGGCATTGGTTGCCGGTACTGAAGAGGCTCAGACGCTCGACCAGAGAGAACTCATGCTAAGCTTCGGGTCGAAGCTTCCCTGATCGGGGAGAAGTGTAGCAGACAGTATATAGGGAACTTATACTGCCTCACTAGTGAGCTAGTTTTTCTTGTGATGCGGTAGAGTCTCCCTCTATTTCAAGCAAGTTAAGCGACGGCGAGCCTGTTTAACCCTTGGATGGGTGACCGTTTCACGTTACAGTACCATCAATATTGTGGATTTATTGTGGGATATACTGTCACTGTTTAAACACAAATTTTATTAAATTCTACTTAAAGATACTCTTAAAACATAGAATATCGACATTTTTAATGTACAGTTTACAAAAGATATAGGACTTTGTCTTTGTATTTTTTATTGACAACCTGAAGAAGCAAGAATTGCCATCTGCATTATTTGACTTTGAATAAGTATTATCAGAATTAACCAGTATTCAGTAAACAATAATTAGTATCTTTCTATAAGGATATAGACATTATCTTTTCTATCCACACAGTTGGACGTGTTTCTCCACGCTATAGGCTTGGTGGAGGGCAATGGTAAAGTGGAGCTATGGTTGATCCGACTGAGTTACATGAACTCCATCATCAACCCGTGGCTGTACATCGTACTCCGTAAGGAGAGTCTGCTGAAGTTTGTAAGGATGTATTATTATTGCTGTAGGTTCTCATCAGAGGAAACGCTAGAAAATGAAACTGACGAGGAAACGCTAGAAAATAAAGCTAGCGATGCTACACTTGATTAATATGATTAAACATTAAGAAGAAATATTTCTGATCGACTTAGGGCCAGCCGATCTATTTGTGGTTGTGTTAGAATGTTTGTAAATGAGACGTTATCGTTACCTTGTTTTAAATTTAGAAAAGTACATATATAAAAATTATAAGTAAAATTAAAAATGATTTGAAATTTAATTAAAGTTTCAGTGGTTGTTACATTTGTCAGTTTTGTGCCCTAACAATATGCACATTGTGTTTATGTATCTCAATTAATTCGATTTGCAAGAATATAATCTATGTGTAAACGAGGCAAGGTATTGACAAACAAGTTAATGAAACAAGAATATCAACAGCCTCGTTTACAGTCATCATTTGCAAGTTCAATTGTCGTTACAATGTCCTTGCCAGCAAATTCAATCTATTACTAAGTCAAATGTTGACTGACGTTTTCATACTTGTTTTTTTGCAATTATTTACACACTTTTTGTATAACGGATTTTTTTCCGTTTTAACTGATCATGTCAACGAGCACTCGGCGGATGTGACCGGCCGGGAAGGGATGCTCACTCCTCTATGGCATCTGATCCCACTTCTGATGTTTCGGAGGTTCGTGTTTGCTCTGCTATTTGTATTGGTTAAATGGACTTTTGCTTTTATATTGCTCGTTATTTATTTTTATTTTCTTTTCTTATCAAATATTCATTAAATTGTTAAGGAAATTACGTTCTGCCCAATATGGGAGAGTGTAAGGTATGAACCGGAATTCTTAGAATTTACGACTACTAATATATCAATGGCAAAAGTGAGGATTGAAAATTGAGAAGTTGGTAAAGCGTAAATATTGTTTTGACTATGCTGCAGCTGCAGGTGATACAACAATATGTTTTCTTTACGTTGCATTAATTGTGTTGTCTATCGCATCGACTAGCAGCATAGATTGCAGAAATCATTGGCATCATAGGTTATTGGCATCTTAAAAAAAACGGTATCAGGACTTTTAAGCTTTGTTCTTTTTGTCCTTTGAAGATCTGTTCACACTACATTCATATCATTTATGACTGATTTTTAAATCGATCTCAAAATTTATTACATTTATTTACATTTTTTAGAATACTACAAAGTGTATGTGTTACATGTAGCATAATTACATATTTTCACGTACCTAGGAAAATGCTCGCTACATTGGCTTAAAATACCGTAATATAATGTATCAAAATAAGTTTAATAGCAAGAAATAAATTAAAACGATCTACTTTAAACTTATATTCCAATATAATAAGCAAGGATCAAGTGCAAATGTGAATATGCACAAAATGTCCTTTAAAAGTTTACATTGTCATTCACTGCGCTCAAAAAAATTATATCATAATCCTCTTTCTTAAAAAGTTTCAGAAATGCACTGATCATAAACACCATTTATAATACATGTACCCACATCAGAAACTTCCATCACTTCTCCCATAGCTTAGATTTTAATATAACATTGAAAGCTCGATTTAAACAGGGAGTTAGTAAAACTGTATCGTATGTAACATTTGTTTCATTCAAATGCAAAGTCTTAAAAATAAATTAAATGCTTAAAAATTGAGAATGGTTGTTTTCTCCCTGTACGAGAAGGGTCGAGTTTCCTTGTGCTTCCGCCTGGACAGAAGATTTCCAGCTGTGTTTGCCCGCAATAAGAGCCTAGATTTATGAATATTAGTCACGTGATCATCTCCAAAAATGCTATCTTCACTGTCAGAAGAGCACCCATCAGAGTTAATATCAGCGTCTCTCTGGCTTTTACGTCTCTGTCGTTTGGCATTTGCTCTACTTATATCCTTTCTTTCTTGCACTTTACAAATATGTTGAATAGTTCTGTTACCAAGAGAACTTAATCGAAGACGCCTTACCATATTGATTAATTGTTTTTGTTCTGTTTTTTCGATCGGTAATTCTGGTTTGATATCTTCGAATTCCAGTACTTCCGGCTCATTGATTGTGTGTTTGTTTCGGTTGTTATCATCATCTTCATCATCATCATTATCATTGTTTACTTTTTTAAATCCCAGACGTAGAAACTCCTCTGCCGTGATATTCTGTTTTAGGTTCCCAAGTTTTCTTTGCCGAACCTTTGGCCGTATCTTTGAGTATTTAGTAAGAGTGATTTTTGAAGGCCCCATTTGACTTTCCTCAGCGTTCCCTTTCGAGGAATCCATACCTTTCAAAGATTCTGTTTTCACTCTTTTCATTTCTTTCATCTCTAGTATAAGTGCTATTTTTCGTTTACTCAAAGACTTGATGTACTTCTGCCTCTGATCTGAGAGTATTTTGGCTGTGTTACGTAGCTGCACGTCCGCACACTGGTTTTTCCTTTCAACATAAATGGAAGGAAGCATTACGGAGCTGGGTAGTTTGTTTAAATGAAACAATTTGAGTGGCACCATTTTCCTCACACAATTCCAGTTTCTAATTAGCAGAATGGATAACACAATAATACTCTCACAAAGAACAAAACTCCATAAAATTGTCAGACGTTATAACGTTACAATTTCCGTTCGTCCTGCGATATTACATGCAATCTGTTTCTTTCAGACACCCAACAGAATGCATTATATATTGTTTTCTGCAAGCTTTGAAAACATTAGAACCCTTTTAAAATTTTAAAATTAGAAAGTTTCAAAGTTAACTACAAAGCATGAAGACTAATTGGGAAAGCCTAATCATGCATACTAGATTATCTGTTTTCTTTTGTTTCTTTTTAAAACTTAGTGTTACAGACACTAGTTTAAAATTCCTTAAGGATCTCCCCTGCAGTGAAAGGGACATTTTAGAAGCGTGTTCGCAGACGGCCTTGCCAGGCAACTAGTTTGATCCTACTTATATAACGGACTAGCAGGTATTGACAGAGTAATTCGAGAACATGTTTTATGTGTACTTAGTTAAAGTAATGAAAACCTAGTAAGAATTGAAAGTGGGTGCATTCTACATTTATTAGTACATCTACTATATGTTAAATTAAGAATTTCTTTTATTTCCAAACCGTTCAGTAACATGTACATGAATTTAAATTTTTAAAAAAATCATATAAATCAATTTAATAAAACAAAGTCCCTTAACTCAATCCGCTGATTTATTTTTATTTGCACGATGTTTCCATAACGTAAAACTTAAAAAAAAATACTGCACATATGGTACATCAACTTTCGGATCATCGGGTTTTCTTTCGGATCACCGGGTTTTCATCGGGTTACAGACATAATTAATTCTAGGAAACAATTTCTTTGATCGTAGAAAAGATTGAAATAACATTCTAAACATTCTAAACTATGAAAATTTGCTCGCATTAATTTTTTTCTACGGTATTTTTCTATAGTAATAAAAAAAAAGAAGTCTGATTCCGCCGTGACCATGCAAGACGAGTAAATGTTTTGCACCGAATCAATTTATAGTATTAATTGATTTTATTCCATACGTATAAAACTTTAAGAAGTCATTATTATTTTTGGCTATTTGGTTAGATCATGTTTATCTAATTTTAAATTGGTTACGGACTTTCAACATCCCGCCCTTTAAATATGCCGTATATGAGATTACCAGGTAAGACTAAAATAATTTTCAGGGTTTAATAATTCATTTGCATAAGAAACAGTACACAAAAAGTTTAATTGTAAATTTTTGTGTTTTGTATTGTAAAGAAAAAAAAAAGTATTTTATCATTCAATATTCGTTAATTAATACGAGGTTTAAAGTATCTGATATATATAAATGTTTACATGTACATAAGTGAAAGCTTAGCGTAAACGTACATATACATGTGCAGTTGTAGCAGATTCATATTCTGTTGACACAGTTTACATGTATTAATGCAGAGCGCCATTACATTAACAATTATTTAGATTTCTACTCAGGAAATTAATTTCCTTGAACTAAATGTGTATAGTTCTTTGAAGCCGATTTCTATGGACCTTTCTTTCGGCCGGTCTTCTTTACTTAAGGGCCCTTATCTTTTGACGTCACAATGCTCAAAAAACGACGTCAAAGTTACCGTATTCCCCATTTTCAAAAGGTGAGTTATTTCCCCTGAAGGGAACTCTTTTACTGTGTTTAATACGCATGCGCTATAAATAAAGTCACTTCCGCGGACGTTCTTGATGTAAACATGTTCATGGTGTATGCCTCTGTCATATGGAAAAATGTTATTGTGTTTGTGAATAAAAAGAAATCTTAACTGATTCAAATTTTTATTTTTAATTGTCCACTCATAGTCTCTTTCTGGATTTGTATTAATCTGTATAGTACTATAATAAGGTGCTGTTTGACCTCCCCCCCCCCCCCCCTTACAAAAAAAACAAATTACTATTAAAATGCTGATACATATTCGAATAGGCCTATTAAAAAAAAACACACACAAACAAAAAAGCTAATTTTCGGTAGTGGATGTTCTGCAGACGGATCATCATTATTTACAAAATGTGCGGAACAAATTTTTAGTTATAAACTTTTTACGAATTAATCTAGCCTGCTGCAGCCATATTTTCATTGTATCTCTAGGAATTTTTTGAAGACTGATGACATGTCCATCTACAGTTTTACCTCTGAAATTGCTGCATATACAGCAGTAGTTCGTCTTCCGCTACCGCGATACCAAGAAACTGCGTTTTTGCTCGATTGTATGTCATAACATAGAGCTTTTACTTACAAGAACACATTTGGTGACAATTAAAGGCCTATTTCATTTGAATTAACCGTGTTTCTAGAATTTTCTATTTGTAAAATAATTGATTCACTATTTAGTATTAAAACTTTGAATGGAATTCTAAATGAATAATTTAATCTCATGTGTAACGAAGAAAGACTAATTAAAATAGCATCGAACTGAATTCGTGTTACATATGTCGTATAAAGTCTGAGCTGCATTTAATCAAAGTTTTAGTGTAGGATCTAAGCAACATGTATATTCCCGAGTAAAATACACATTTTGTTTTAGATCAGAGAATTGAAAGCAGAAACACGAAATCGATACAATAATTTCCTAGCGTATTTCTCGTTAATTAACTGAAAACAATCTTTTCTCAAGTGTTATTTATTTTTTTAAAATCCTTTCAGTGTAAGTACATGTATTTATTTTTATAAGTTATTCTTTTTTTGCAAAGTGTGTAAA